GTGCTCGCAGGGGGCAGGAGCCAGCGCCGTTGGGAGGGTGGAAATGTTCCTTTCGTGACGGTGGGGAGGAACGGCCGCCGCTTCAGCCCCTCAGCGTGAGCCGCTTTCCCGGCTCATCGCTCCTGTACGTGGTTCCCCAGCCTAACAAGCCTCATCAGCCTGGGACTCCAGAGAGAAACGCATCAGAAACGGGATCGCTGGGTACTGGGTACACACAGATCTCCCCCCGCCCCCCACCTTTCCTTCCAAGGCTGGAATGGGGAGATAGAAACACTTTCAGCTGGGGAGGAAGGAAAGCAAAGGCTGAACAATAATTATAGCTGGTCATCAAAATTTCCAGTAATGATTAGTGTGGGCTGGTATTATATTCTATATAGTCTATGTCAAATTAATATCTGATGAAGGAATACATCTGTTACAGGAATAGATGTTCTCTGCCCCTTGGTGTGCCCTAAAGAGGCTTCCACCGTGGTTCCGAAAGCTGCCTGTATTGGGAAGGGAAGGAATTTGTGAACCCTTCTAAGCCATGTTGGAAACATGAAAGAAACTTAGCAGGCTTCTTAAATAATATGTGCACATCATGTTATGATATCATCAGCACCCATACCTTTTGATCTGAGTAACTGCTTCTTGATAGGAGTAAGGAATTTTGAAATGCCCTTTACTTTTGATACCTATTTTTTCTCCTTGCTATTACTTAACAGATCACTGGTTTTGGCAGGTGATACCACATATGTACAATTTAGCACTATACTCATCTGTAATAACCATTTTTTTCAAGTTATGTTGTGTAAAATGCAGCTCTCATATTATTAAAGGCCCTATCCAGTAGGTGAAATGAGTGATCCAGTGAAGTCAGTGAGAATTTTACCTTCAGTGGAAATAGGATAGAGTCCAAAAAAGGAACACTGATTGCTTTAAAAATCATACAAAACAAAGTTCCTTATCAGTTCTACAAATGATACCTTGATTATTAAAACTATAATAATTTTAAACATCTAATGTTGTTTGCTTACTGTTTCCTTTGCTTAAAGCTTAGACAAGGATAGTCAGTTTCAGAATGTTTAGGTTCTCCTGCCATTACTGTAAGGACCCTAGTGACCTTACAGTAGTGGAGGGTCATGCAAAGTGGGGCTTTGTTCTCCAACACCTTCTTTTTTTTCATCTATGCTGGGGGAATAAAGTTGAGGAGGACAGAGGCAGAGATCTCACTTACACAAGAGTTCTCTGATGGCCATTTATGGCCAATTTCAGTCCATGCTTACACTTGAGTGACATAAAGTAGACACAGCAGATAGGAGAATCTGGCTGCTAGTGGAGACAATATTTTGGCAGCTGCCAGCAGTTTAAGCACTGTGTTCACTAACCCTGCTCTAAACCATGATGTAATTTACTTTTGATACTTAAAACATTGGCTGCCACCGATGTGCTGTCTACATGAAGATTCTCAAAGTTGCTGGTATAAGTGACACTGGTATTATTGTCTCTAAGGATTTTTCTTTCACATTTCCCTAGTGTAAGCAAGCCTGGAAATAGCTGGGACCAAGCACAATGAGGGGTTCAAAGATCATAACCAATACACTGAAAAGAGTCCACAACTGGATTAAGAGTTTGCAGAGTACACAGAGCACTTTATTATATTGCAAGAAATGGTAGATGCCAAATGCCAGCATACTGGTTCTTGCCAATTGCTAAACACATCCCAGTTGGCCACCTTGACTCCTGCCAATCTCCATACCATTGTTCACACTAAATACAAACTCCATCCTCTCCAGTTTCTGTACTTTCTCTACACAGCCACACTGAAGGTCAATCACAACCCCTGTTATGGGCAAAGAGGTCTTTTCTAACTCCTCTAAGATCGTCTCATCACCATCCTAAAAGAGATACTCTGTCTTGCTACCAATTATTGGGCATGATGCAGGGTGAAAGTCTATGGCCTGTGTTATAAAGGAGATCAGACTAAATGATCACAAAGATCTCTTCTGGCCACGGAATCCATCCAATCCACAAATTCAGTTAGCTTTGGCTCAGCACTTGAGGTTTATCTCAGAGAACTACTCAAAAAAGAGCAATAGTACTGGTATGAACACATTTTTAAGAGTAGTCCTGTGGCACCTTAGAGACTAAAAAAAAATATGTGTAGGAATGCTATCTCTTCTGGGTTACCTGCCATACCACAAACAGGATGTGATGGTGGGGAAGAAGGTGGTCCCAGTGACAAGTGACTATTGTAAATAATTTTTGTTAGTGTTTGATTAAATATTCTTTGTCCTTTTGGTACCTGAGATGTAAATTTAGTTCCCTGGTCTGTGAGAATCTCCCAAAGCACCTCTACTTTGACAAAGATATTCATAAATTCAGCTGCAGTGGATTTGGTTTTTGTGAAGCATAATAGTAAGGTCTCAGGGATTGAGTAATATACTCCATGATTACCAAGAAATAGCATTATCCAGCCCACATTTTTCTTGAGTGGCCCAAATATGTCCATTCCAGTCCTCACAAATGGTATGCCAACCAAGAGGAGAGGGACCAATACAGCCTTTACCATTCTTTGGGGTGCAATTAGTTGACATTCTGGGCAAGAAATGCAGAAGTCTGGAACCTTCATGTATAGACCAAAAAAACTGAAGCACCATGAATTGTGTTTGAACTTTCTCTGGTGTTCTTTCTCTATGTAGTATAACCATTCACCCTGAATTTCAAAATGGGGGAATATTTCAGGTAGGAGGGCGTTCACTGTTTCTCCATTAAAAATGATGACTAGTACATAGCACCAGCTTAACGTTTCATCTCCCTTTTGCTCCTAAATTAATGTTGTAGAACCTAATCAGGGTCTCGTATTGGATTAGGGGGGAAGGAAGGACTGGGATCCCAAGGAAGCAACTAGCTGTTTGGAACTTTTGACTTCTGGCCTGGCTATCACTACTGTATGAGTGAGGCTTATTGAGTCCCAAGTCAACTGAGGGGATGCCAGCAGTGAGGTCCCTGGTGCTCTGGAAAGATCCCAAGAATGCCTCGAGGAGGTCCCCAAAGTATTCCAGGGCTCAGTAACGACTCGGTTACTGAGTGATGTCATAAGGTTGGCTATTAAGGATCGTGTATGCTCCCCCATGGATAACAGAAATTGAGTGCGGAGGATATGGCTTTATGTATCCTTACAAACACTGCAAGTAAATGGTGCTGCAGGGCAATCTTGGGCTTGGTACTAAAAATTCCTTTATGAAAGTCTTGCTGCTCTGTGTCCCTGAGTCCACAAGGCCCATTACTTTTATCCAGTTTAACTAGGATGGTCAATTTAGTTGTCCCTGACCAACTTGTTTGGGCCTCTGCAGTCCAGACTTGCCATAACTGTATTCTGTAAATAGGCAGTCCTGGTACTAGTGCCAGGTGAGGTCATACATAAAACAAACATTCAGGACCTGGCTGCTGATATTGAAACCTCCTGCTTGTTTTTTGGCAATCTCTTCTTCTGGGGCTTTCCTATTCCTGATCTCTGAATTTCCCTTTCCAATTTCCAATTCTTGGGTCTGAGCCATTGTCAACACCAGTCTTCCAGTTTCAATGCCATCATGTGAAGCTGCTCCCAAAATCAGTGGCTGAATGATTCCTCTGAGATAGCCAAAGAATCCAAAATAGCCTGTATGACTCACACGTAATCTTGGGATATTACTGAAGCCAACCCACAATAGGCCTCTTGTGCCATCCCAGTCAAGTATGGGAACAGTAAAGTTGCCCATTGCTCAGATCCTCACAGTGCTGCTGCCGCTGCCACCCATTCATACTTGCTGAGAAAAGCTCCTAGATCATATTCAGGTCCCATTTTTGTTAGTCTGACTGGTACTGGGGTCTCTGGAAGATTTGTGTTGGAAAACTGACTATTGTGGGAGGCTGCAGTATGGTCACTGCCTGCTGACCAGCTGTTGTTGCTGAACAACTAAATCTTGGATCAGCTGCTGGTGCAGGATAGCCATCTGCTGGAGGAGGTGCTGTAGCTGCTGCTTCTGTGTTGTCTATTCCGCTGTATCACTCCTTTCACGAGTTGTTCCATCTCCATATTGCAGCAGAGACTCCTTTATTTTTTAAAAGTCCTGACCTGCTCCCTTCCATAGGGGCAAGAGTGATGCCTGTTTTTCACCAATAAATTTGTAAATGTCTTGTTTAGGTAGTGTCCCCTTGTGCCCAATCATGGCATGAATTCCCCTCTGCAGGTCTCTGGAAGAGAAAATTACATAAAAATGGGGATGGGGGAAAGGTGTGGAGGGGAAGGGGAAAGGGGAAGCATAAGTAATGCATACATTTCAAAAGCAAAAATAATAAATACATTTTTAAAGTTGTGTTTAACTCATTTCTCCCTCCAGTATCTCAGGCAGAAAAGGAGGGCTGGAAGGGAGGAAATAACCAAACCTGGCTTCAGAGCTGAGCAAGTGGACAGAAAAAAACAACAAATGGTCTGGTAGCATTTTATAGACTAGCAAAACATGTAGATGGTGAAGTGGGCTGTGCCCATGAAAGCTCATGATACCATCTACGTGTTTTGTTAGTCTATAAAGTGCGACCAGATCATTTGTTTTTTCTGTACAGACTAACTCGGCTGTCCCCTGAAGCAAGTGGATAGAGACTCTTCAAGCAGTTTGGAGTCCTGAGGTGAAAGGGAAACAGCCAGCAAGTTAATTATTTCATTTTTAACACTGGTATGCATCATATATGAGCAGAAAGGTAAAATTCCCCAGTGCATACCATAGAAGTACAGGAAAAGGTATAATAAATTGTATTATATTTTGCAAATCACCGTAAAACTTCACATGCACAATCCCAAACCTCCCATTCACAATCTCCTTTGTCACAAAACTCCATGCAACCTGCCCATCTCCTGCACTGAATTAGCCCTTCTTTGACACTCAGCTTACATAGCGTGCACTCACATGACCCCTCAAGTCAACAAGAGTAGCATATAAGAGGCTTAAGAACCTTATCTCTCTTTCACACACACACAAACTGTCTAGAGACATATAAAGCTGACTTTAAGGGGTCAATCTTAAAAGGTGTGATCAACTCCTGGAGGTGCAGAGTGAACTCAAAGCGCCCATTGAAGTTAATAGTAGTTGAAGACATTGACTACTTCTGATTAGCACCTTACAGGATCAAATTCTAAATTCACGTATCTCTGGAAGGAAGTAGATTTGGAACCTGGGTTTCACAGATCTAAGTCTGGTCTTGATCTGATTCTATCTGCTTCTTCAAGCCTTTTGGTACATCTACACAGCAGCATTATTTCAAAGTAACTGACATTATTCCGAAATAACAAAGAGTGTGTCTACACTACAAGCCTTTATTCTGAAATAATGGTGAACAAGAGGACTTCTTACTCTAACTCAGGGTAACCCTCATTTTATGAGGAGTAATGGAAGATGGAGGAAGAGTGTTCTTCCTTCGACTTCCTGCTGTGTAGACAGCGCCTAAAGCTGAAATAAGCTATTTTGACTGAAATAAGATTAAATAAGTGCCAATAGCTGAAATAAGATATTCTTATGTAGCTGAAGTTGCGTAGTTTATTCTGACTTTAGCCCTGCTGTATAGACGTATCCTTTGAGGGTTGTTCCTCCTAGCCATAGTTCTTCTGCATAGTGTACACGAAGGCTGTGTCTAGACTGCATCCCTTTTCCGTAAAAGGGATGCAAATTAGACATATTGCAATTGTAAATGAAGTGGGGATTTAAATCTCCCCTGCTTCATTAGCATAAAAATGGCTGCCGCTTTTTTCCGGCTCTGAGCTTTGCCAGAAAAAAGCGCCAGTTTAGACGCAGATCTTTCAGAAAATAAAGCCTTTTCCGAAAGATCCCTTATCCCTCATTTTATTTTCCGAAAGATCCACGTCTAGACTGGTGCTTTTTTCCGGCAAAGCTCCGAGCCAGAAAAAAGCGGCAGCCATTTTTATGCTAATGAAGCGGGGGAGATTTAAATCCCCGCTTCATTTACAATTGCGATATGTCTAATTTGCATCCCTTTTATGGAAAAGGGATGCAGTCTAGACACAGCCGAAAGGTATGAGTACACTGAAATATGAAATGTGATTAAAGAACAGGTAGATATATCCAGGGCTCTACAAACTATGTAATCTACTCGCTCGTGGCGAGTAGATTACAACCCGGAAGAGCCGGGTTCGGGCGATCTGTGCATGCACAGATCACCGTACAGTGCAGCTGGTGAGCGGGGCTCGCCACGGCTCGGCGAGCCCTGGATATATCCATATTAGTTTTATCTGTGCTAGCATGACTAAAAACAGCAGTATAGACAAGGCATCACAAGTTGCTTTAAAAGGTAGGCTGTGCAAGGTTGTAATTGGTAAGTCTGTATCAAATGTCAGTCTGACATTAGAAATTTGAAGATTGGATAAGTAAAAGTAGCCTATGTTGTTGTTATAGTTGTTTAGTTGAAATAATAGGGGCTAGTTTACCAAGTATCTAATGTGAAAAAAGAAAGAAAAAGTCATTGCTAATGCATTCATCAGACAAAGACTAGCATAATATAAATTAGTGACCATTCTGAACAAACTCTACAACATATTTTGACTGTTCATATTTTGCCTCTGGTTATTTGCTTTCTTTCTTCTGTCATTTATTTTTTGACTTCTCGTTTTGTTCCCTTGATCATAGTAATTTTCATTTAGAGATTCCCTAAGCTGCTGTGTAAAGTAGGAGCTTAAGGCTTGGTCTCAAATAATTCTTAGGGCCTTATATTTAAAGTTTTTCAGGTGTCTAAAATGCAGGTAGCCTCCTAGTGGTATTTTCCAAATTGTCCATGAACTCAGCACATTTTGATACTAATGGGAATTAGGAACCAACTCAACCTACCTACATCTCTAGAAGCCTAAATAGCTGTGAATGTCTGGCCTTAAGTTTCTATGTTACTTTTTAAAATAAGACATAGGAAGGGAAAATGACAATGTTTTCTACAGTACAGCATGTCTGGAGTCCTATTAATTAGAACCTCTAATTTAAATGGAATGAAGAGGATAGAGTACCTTTTGGTAATTTAGGCCATGATTCTATAGTGAGATCTGCTAGGATAGATACCTGTTCCTGTCTGGAGTGCCACTGTAGCTTCCAAGAAATGTAAAGCATGATACTAATGAATATGATTGTGGAGCAGGGGGTCTAAGGTTGTCATTCCATCCTGAGGGTCTGGGGATGTTATAATCCATAAACAATCCAAAAATATAATAAAAAAAAGTTAATAGTAAACCCCAATTACAAATAGTAGCCTCTATTAATAAACCTTGATTTCAAGAGTACATTATTTAATTAGAGATGGACCCATTTGTCATGGTTTCCTTGACTACTTTTAGCTTGTGCTGTTAATTTAACCCTCAACTCATTGTTTTTACTGCTCTTTTGAGGCTTGCTCTTTTTTTTCTTTTTTCAAAAATGTATGTATTAGTTTGGTTGCCTATTTATGTTTTTCATGTTAAAGTAATTATTTGGCCCATGTTTACTTTCCCTTATTGTTTTGTATCCTCTCTTTCTCTTTTCTTTGTGTGTGATCTGCCCATGCTAATTTTTAATTAATGCTTTTCCTTTCAGTAATAGCTCATCACACAGCTTCTATGCAGGCCCTATCAAAGGCGGGACCAGCAGGACAGCCGTTCAGCCCAGGCTTCAGGAGACAAAGGAGCCTCAAACTTTGACATTTTTCTACCAAGTCATTTCCATTTATTATACACCTTGCAGATATAACAGAGACAACAAAAGAAGCTATATATACCTGCAAAAAATTGATTTAAATCATTGTGGGACCTCGGGCCTTTGCCAATTTTTCAGTCATATCCGGGTTTTCATCCGCATGACTGGAGACTGGAGTAGCTTCTGTGATTAGTGATTCTATGTTATGAAATGCTTTTTACAGTCTCTGTACAGTTTAGAGGTTTTGAAAATTGTAATTTATTCTTTCACTGTAAAGTGATTTTGCTTGGTCTGAGGGTGAGTTTAACCTTTAAATTAGATGTTTATCTCTGCATAGGAGATTTTCATATTCCTGTTTTTTCTTGTGTGTCTTCATATACAATAACCATATCAGGCTCAGCTGTAAACTACCTCTTCATCCAGTTTTAGATTCACCTTTAAAGGCTTTTTTGTGATAATAAACTTTTAATTTTAGTTGTTTAATAAACTTTATATCTAATCTGGCAATCACCACGTGCTCATAATCATAATAACGCACCAGTTATTAGAGGAATTTAATAATGGGAACATGTTAGCAGACAAAATTTCAAGACTTTGAAATAATGATATAAGGGCTGTAGTAAATAACACCCCCAAACTGTTATTATATAATATTAATTGCAAAGTACATACAGTTAAAATTTTGTATAACTAATAGCCTTTAGCAAATTAATTTATTGTGTGTTGCTGTGTTTTAAAGAACCCCTTTATAAAATTGAAGTGCAGATTTGAAAGTGGTGCAAGTAAGAGATGGCAAAAGCCAAAGTAAAGCTGCAGTTAAGGGTTGAAAGCCAATAACATCATTTTCCGTAGAAAAGACGCCTCATCCATTAGACAGCGACAATCCTGACAGTGACACTTCCAGTTCTGATGATGAAAACTTTGTACCCACAAATGACATTTCAACTCCACTGCCTCAAAATTAGAAGATCATTAATCAAGACACAGAAATGCTAACAGTAGTGATAGATGCAGAATCTATGCTGATTTAGAGACTGTGCAGGCACAAAATGAGGACC